TATCTTACAGAAAGTTTAAAAAGCAGGATCTGATAGCCCAGGTTTTAGTATTTCTTTTGTGGTGTCTCTTTTAAAGTTCTACTCCTTAAACACCTTAAAAATAAATAAATAAAACAAAAAAAAAATCAGAAGTTAATCAGGAAGCAATTGAGGAGCTATTCCATGACTTTTTTATTTTATTTTTAACGACTGGATGTTCATGTTCAGTTTATGCATATGGGAAGAAATGTTCTTGGATGCAATAAGGAAAGAAGACAGTAGGATGAACCGGAAATGTTCTGAGAAAACATGAGGTCTGGCATTCATGTAAATGCTACTTTGACTCATATAATCAACCTAAACATTGTTCTTGATTAAGCACACCCTGGATCATGCAAATGATATTCCTTGTTGGCAGTGGCTTTTTTTTAGAGGGAAAATGCGCATCTTGCCAAACTGCAAGAAAGGCTTGGAAATGGTTTCAGAAAAACAATAACAACTTGAGATGCATCCAAATTCTCAAAATTTGAATCCATTTGAGCATTTGTGGGATGTACCAAACAAACAACTCCATTCATGGAGACCCCAACACAGTTTACAGAAGTGAATCTATTGGTGCAACAGATTGTTCAAATGGTATTTTAAATGTAAAAGCTCAGCTAATATACATTATGGGATTTATGTTTCTTTTACATACCAATGCTACTTGTTTGCATTCCCATAAATACATAGTTTGGTCCATACCTGTGGGCAGCTCAACTGCTGGTGCTGGGGTGAAAGTTGGCATCAGAACTTGGGGTGTGTAGCCACTAGTGATGTTCTCAACTACAGTCACCAAGGGAACTTGATCTAGAACGGGAGGCAGGCAGCTGACCTTGTTGATGCCATCTACACAAGAAAAGGCTTCTGGACATGGATTTAGCAGGCAGTCGTCATAGTTGTGCTCACAGTTCCTCCCCTGTGTACAGAAATTAGAAAGCCTGGAGATGTGCTGAGCAACTCTGCAGTGAAATGAATTCAGTGTTTAGCAACGAATTGTTCACACTTTAGTCCTAAACTTAACCCCTGACCAATCACATTTCTCCCAATGGGGTCTAGACTTAGGTCTGCATAAGTACCAGCTGGTCCCTACAAGTAGAGGTGTATGCCAAAAACTGTCCCCACAAAGTAGGGAGTACCTGCCCGCACACACATGCTTACACAAAAAGACAGTCATACTCACATTATTTTTCTACGGAGCAGAAAAATAACGAACGAGGGGACATGGGGGGATTTTTTTCTTTTGCGTTCCCACGCAATACTTTTGCGTTCCTTCACAATACTTTTGTGTTCCCTCGCAATACTTTTGCGTTACCTCGCAATACCTTTGCGTTACCTCGCAATACTTTTGCGTTACCTCGCAATACCTTTGTGTTCCCTCGCAATACGTTCGCGTTAACTCGCAATATTGTTTTGCATTCGCACGCAAAAGTTTGTTTTGTATATGAACTGAATTAAATCAGACTTTTATTTTGAAATATCCGGTTACCAAAACAGGATGTGTCGTCACAGTTCGTGAAATTGACGTTGATGTTGCGTGGCTGCACTGTGTTAAAATATCGGCACATGACATACTTCCATGCGTGGCTGTGTGATATATTCATTCTGAAGCTGTATTAAAGTAGTAGGCTAACTTGCTAATGGTGAACACGTGAATGTGTTAGTAAACCGGCAGGCACAACAGTGATAAACAACTTTTTTGAGGGAACGCAAAAGGTATTGTGAGGTAACACAATACTATTGCGTGGGAATGCAAAAGAAAAAAAAATCTCCCATGTCCCCTCGCGGGCTCCGTAATTTTCCACCTTTAGCTTTTGAGGGAAGACAATAAAAAATGTGAACACGTATTTTCTCCGTTCATTTATTTTACTAACAAAGGGTTATAAAGTTATTGTGAAAAAGGTGAAGTTAAAGAGGGGAGGTGGGGTGGAGGAGGGATAAAGTGGGAAAGTCTCACCACAAATCCAGGACGACAGAAACAGGTGTAGCCATAGCCTGGATCATTCTGGATGCATATCCCCTGGTTGCAGGGCTGTGGAAGGCACTCATTAATGTCATCATCACAGTGAAGGCCTGTCCAACCTGCCAGGAACAAAAGCCCACAGAGTGTCGTAGTGAGCACGGGCTCTCTCACTTCCACCCTCTGAAGTGAATATCAATCAGATTCTCTTACATTGATTTGCTTCTTTTGGGGTTCACAGACACACACACGCACACATACACACACACTCGGACAAGAAAAAGCTTTCACTAAAGAGTAAGATGCCACGTACATTTTAATGAGCAGAGGCAGTATTCGTTAATCACTGTCCTTTTTTTGTACTGTATGACAACAAATTTCTCCTTGAAGAAAAGTACATAGACTTTGAAGAACTGGAAGGCATAAAAACTGTGAATTATGAGAACCTTTAGTGGCTCATTTCAGCCCAATGCCTTATGTATATATATTTTTTTCAGTTTTAGGAGTTTACAGCTGTGAACTCTATTCCACTACATCTGAAGAACAAAAAAAGAATAAAGAAATTTTTTTTCATTTAAAGAATGTATTGCCTTTTTGGTTCAGTTTTAGTATTCATGCTCATGAGCTGCAAAAGCTGCCTGTAAAATGTGTTACAAAGGGGGGAATACTTGGGCTGCCTTATGTTGAAGTAAACTGAGAAATTCACCGTATTGGATACCTGAGTGACTCACCTGACCTGCAGTGGCAGACGTAGCTATTAATAAGATCCTGGCAAACAGCGCTGTTCTGGCAGGGTGCTGAGCAACATTCGTTAACATCCACTTCACAGAAATCCCCCGTAAAACCTGGTGGACAGCTATAAAACACATTTACTTCAGAAAACTATAAGGCTTTGTCACACTGTTGACACTTCCTTTTTGTGGACTTGATAAGCTCTATCTAAGAACTGCTGCTTTTTGTCATTGCTTATCAGAGAATACAGCAACTTTTTTGTCAGTGGCTTTAGAAAACATAATTCAAATGTCTTTCTTGGCTGTCTTGATAGACACAGTGGAGGACAATAGGCCTTAAAGTAAAAAGTGTGCAGCCACTATAGGTAGTATCTCACTACCTAAAATGATATGAAAATTGTGAGAAAACAGGACATTTTCTGTTGAAGTCTCACTAACTTGTGTGTTTGTAACCAAATGACCAATTAGACATTCAGCTGTGTTTTGAGTTGTTAATGTTTACATTTTGCCAACTAGTAAACAGTAGCAGTCCGGTGTGATACTGCTTTGAAGGGCACATATCATGTAAAACCCATTTTTTAGGAGCGGCTGTGCCAGAGTGTTTAGGGGAGTCGTCCTGTTGTAGCCCATGGGTTGCTAGTTTGATCCCCTATTCTCTATGTCTCAGTAGTTGTGTCCTTGGGACCACTTCACACATCTTGCCTGCTGGTGGTGGTCAGAGGGTCCAGTGGCGCCGGTGCACGGCACCCTCGCCTTTGTCATGCTGCATTTACACCAAACACGTTTTGAGCATCAGGAGCATCTGGTTTACATGCAAAGTCAATGGTGGGCYCACATCTAGGGCCGTCTAGAAGCCGAGCAGTATGTCTGGCACGTTTTGAGCAGCGCGGTTCAAAGCGGTTCCCGTGTTTTGAGCATTTTCCGTGGATGCGGTGCATCCAAAGCGTCTGACGCTCGAGTTGGAAAATCTGAACTTTTGCTGCTCGACGTGTCYCATCAACCGACGCACTGGTGACAGGCCGGAAATACCGGAAGTCCAGGAAATCGGATCACACAAACAATGGAGGACAAACTGATAGTCCGATCATTTATGATCACTCCAGTGTCCATTATRGTGATAGAAATAAAAAGGACTTTGCCTGGAGGACGATTAGTGAAGAAGGGCTCCTCCTCTAACGTGTCTACGTTCATATCAAATGCTTCTGTCCTCGCTGGACACCAGCGTAGGGAGACGTGCGTTTTTAGATTTTTGGAGGCGTGCAATTCATTTGGTGTAAATGCAGAATCAGCCTGCCAAAGGGCAGCTGTAGCTACAWTGTAGCTGACCACCATTAGTGTGTGAATTTATAAACTTTTTGGGTCAAATATTTCAACCTGTATGATGTTTTCTGAACTATTACATCACAGAATTTGTGACGGAACTTCTAAATAAGGTCTGGCCTTACCAACTACCATTCTTAATTATTCTCTCACTCTGGGTCAGACTCAGGCTCCAACATGTAAGGCTGAAAGGACAAGTTATCTTTTAATTAATTTGTAAATAAAATGTTTCTGCACTGCTATATAGTCGTAAACCCCTCTCTCAAACTGGAATGGACCACTCTAAACGCTGAAAGGACCTCAAGAGACAYCATCAAAACAAGCTTTGTTTGGCTTGTTAAGTTAAAACAAGGAGGAATTCAGACCAAAGCATTGTAGTTCCTCTTTATATAGGAGGCGGCTGTGGTGTAGTGGTAGAGCAGCCGGCTTTGGGACCTGCAAGTCACAGGTTCAACTCCCCYCCACGCCCACACGCCGTTGTGTCCTTAACCCCAGTGCCTCTGATATGTGTCCCATCAGTGTATGAATGTGATTGGCACTGATTAGTCTCCATAGATGATTGTACATGTTAGCTTTGTAGGAGATCTGGTACAGTGCTGTGTGAATGGGTAAATGAGGACACAGGTTGTAGTGTGAAGCGCTTTGAGTATCCTGGTTGGGTAGAAAGGCACTATACAAGTACAGTCCATTTACCATATAGACACCAACTGAATGTTTTTTGCGGAGAAAAAAAAAGACTTTAAGCAATATAGAGAATTGTGGCGATACAACGTGGTGTGAACATACACATTTTTAATATGTTTTCTGTTTCCTCCACACTGATTCATTTTCAGTATATGAAACGTTCACTAAACTTTCTCCGTTAGAAATCTGAACCTTTTCACTCTCCAAGCAAAGGTGTCTTTAGGTTTTTAACAARTTTCAGCAAACAATGCAAAACTCCACCTTAAATGAACCACACTGTTGCAAAGATAAGCTCTGCAATATTGAAATTCCCACTGCTGGAAACTCAAATGAAGCTTAAAAGTCACAACCTTGACTTTAAAGACCTTATTCTCTGGGGATATTCTGCAGAGCATAAAATCTACAGGAAAACAGAGAGGAAATGTTATCCTACATTTCGACTGTGACTCCAGATAAAGAGGTCTCATCTCCCAATGGGACCATTCTGTCTAAATGAGCGACAAAATAAAACAACATCAAAATGACTGGTAATTGAGTGGGTTACTTGAGGTAGAGGATGAGCTAAACCTGGAAAAGGCTGTACTTTGAACAAATAAAGGTAAAATTCAGTTCTGCGGATGCCAATCCCACTGAGAAGTTAAGTTTTTTTTCCCAGATGGACAACGAGCCTATCATGCATCAAAGCTGCTGCAAATCTGAGGCCAAAGAGCCTCGAACTCTTCAAAGACGATCCCAGATTTTCGATTCACAGCCATGACATCTGAAACATGGCTGTGAAAATTCCAACAAGGACAGACACAAATGCTACAACATGAGTAGGAAAGATTACAGAAGGTCAAAATAGACAGTGAAAATGAATTCTGACTCAGAAAAGGCAGATGAACTCTTGTTGACCTGCTAAAAGCCTCAAGCCCCATTTTTAGAATTCAGRGTCTGGAATAAACTGAAATCTGTAAGGTCCAGTCAATTTGAATAATTTATTAACTACAGCAGTAAAGCAGGCTTTAAGCAAAACCCCTTAATGATGGCAGTAAGAAATGAGCTTTTTTAAAGCAATTCTTGATGTACTTTACCTAAAAAGCTGATAAATTACTTGTTTGCACACAGCAGAATACAGTTTTAATAATTAATACAATTAAATCTTCAAAATATTTTATATTTAGCTTTTTACTTGTGTTTTCTAGCCAAATATTAGTCTGCATTCACATGAAGAAATATAGCATAGCCATTTATTCGTAAACTCACAGCATGTAATGGACCCTTGTATCACTTTCTACACAAATTAGCACAACATTCAGGAAATGCACTGCTCAGGTATCATCAAGTAACTCTGTAAACTGCAACAACCTATTAGGAGTAGCTGTAGTCACAGTCATATAAATCATGACATCGAGCATATACCAGCACATCAACGCAAGGTTAGACAACGCAATTAACTGTAAGACATCCAGGGATCTGTTGTGTCAAATTGGCACACTCCTTCTGCATGCATCTTGTATCCAGATACACTTCATCACTCAAGAGATAGTGTGCCAGCAATTAAAAAGTAATCATTCACTTCCAAACAACCTGGAGGACTGATATGAGCGCACAGATGTACTGCAGCACAATTATTATAGGGAAAGATGCATTTTTAATTGGAGACAAGTAAAATTGTGTTAACACTGACGACAATCTAAACTTAAAGATTTGTTGCGGGAAGAAATTTTGAAAAGTCCTTCAATTTTTCACATTTTTTTTTAACATTCAGTCAGTTTTCCTTTAATGAGACCCATTTGTAATCACATTATTACCAAAACATAAACCATTCATAGTTTRGTCGTCTAGTTATACAGAATGCTTGTGTTGCAAAGATGTGTTCAGCCTATAGTGAGAAACTGCATTAAAACCAGTYTTATTACTAGACAGATTTAGGTATTTTGGTAAAAWTGGCTTAAAAGGGCAAGATRTAAAGCCAATAGAAAGAGAACAAATAACTCTAAAAACAAAAAAAAACCCACAAACCTTGTACTCGTCCCCAACTGTGGTCTAAGAACATGTAACTCAAAAAGCTYTTTAGTTGTACTGATTATTTCTGCTTCACATTTCAAGTTTAGAGTAGAAATATGAAGCTCATTCATCAGTCTCTTAATCTATATCAAGTAAGATTCAGTTTCATCTCGTTACATTTACTGTATACTTTGCTSTTTTTAAGCTATTTAGCAAATTTGGAAATGTATTGATGGTTTTCTAAATTCAAGGACAAACTGGAATCAACTCTAGGCCTTTTATCTGCTTAACTGATAAAGACATAACGAAGGAATTGCCCACACCTGCCTGTGAAARAGCCTTTGAGTCAATTGTCCAATTTGGTCGCTTTAAAAGCAGGGAGGGCAGTGGGCACATGTTAACCCTTCATCCAATTTTAACGTGGATACCTTCAAATGAAAGCTGAAAGTCTGGAATTTATATCCGTGTCCATTTTATGGCCATAACTTTAATATGTTTCAGCAAAAAGGTAAAAAACTAACTTTGTGTCAGTGTCCAAATAGATACGGACCTAGCCGTGTATATGTATATAATTATCCTTAAAATCCAAAACTAACCAGGTCTGTTGTAGCTTAAGGTGACTTGCAAAGCTGTATCAAGTAAATTGACATCAACAAGGTGATTTTTTTGGTCATCCTTAGTAGAAGGTGATATATGGCCTATTATGGTCAAAGGTTTTCTGTTGCTAGAGTTCCAATGTGGGCATAACTCRTACACTGGWTTTACGGCACCTGGTATTCCCTGGCGGTCTCCCATTCAAGTACTAAACAGGCCCAACTCTGTTTAGCTTCTGAGTGAGATCAGACCAGATCTGGCGTGATTTAGCAGACGGTCAGTAAAACCGTATTTGCTTTTGGTCATCCAGAGAAAATCTTTGACTGTTATTTCAACAAGTAATCCAAACAGGCGGGCAAACTCACCTGCACGTAAAGTTCGATCCTTCCCCATCGAGGCAGGTGGCTCCGTTGAAACAAAGCGAGACGTTAAAAGCAGCATCTTTACAAACGTCTACATCATTTTCACAAATCTTTCCTGTGTAACCATCCAGACAGAAGCATGCAAATTTATCAATGAGATCCACGCAGGAGCCTCCGTTCAAGCAGGGGRTGCAAGAACAGTCCTGCAAAAACAAAGTGTTCACATCAAATTTTAGTGAGAATGGCTAATAATTTACAAATAAAATGCACAGTTTACACATGCAGTTTATTGATGGGTGCCTAAATGTAATTTGGGTTTAAAATTAATTGGTAGTTGTTAAAAGGCAGATAATCAGTTTATTAATTTAATAAAATACTCAGAGAAACCTTGTAGGCAAATTAATCTTTTATCTCTAGGGTCCAGCAAAAAGCTGTAGTRTAAATCAATTAAGCATTAGACTAGCAGATGCTTCTAATCAGGCATTTGTACAAAGTTTACATGATCCTAGTGGCACAATTGACTTATCTTGTACAAAAGTCAATTGAGGTAATGATACTAAAGGCCACGCAAAGACCACCAAATTCTCCTGACATTTCTCCACAACACCCAGAAGGTTTAATAATTAAGCTCAACTCACATCAACATTTGTTTCACATCTGCTGCCAATCCACCCAGGTTCACAAAGACAGGTGTAGGAATTTATTCCATCTTTGCAGCTGAGGGCCAAAACACAAAGTACAATGTAAGATTTCAAAATTATATTATTGAGAGAGAGAGAGAGAGAGAGAGAGAGAGAGAGAGAGAGAG